TAGTTCTCTATTAGTGCATAAGTTATCACACACAGTGATTTAAAACAGTGCAAATTTTTTATCTCACAGTTTCATAGGTCCAGACACAAGCTTAGCTGGTTCTCTGTTCAGAGTCTCACAGGGCTGCAGTCAAGGTGTTGGCTGGGCTGATTTTTCATGTGAAGGCTCAACTAGGGAAGAATTTGTTTATAAGTTCAGATTGTTAGCAGATTTTACTTCCTTGAGTCTGTATAATTGAGTCCTAGATTTTTACTAACTGGAGGCCACCCTTAGCTCCTAGAAACTGCCTGCAATTCCCTGCCCTCTTCACAGGCAGCTCACAACATGGCTGTTTGCATCTTCAAAACCAGCAGGAGGCTCCCTGCAGTCTGATAAGACTTCTTATGTAATGAAATGTAATTACAGGAGTGACATCCCTCACCTCTGTCATGTAATATAACCTAATTAAACGAGTGACATCTCATAATCTTCACCATATTCTATTGGTTAGAAGCAAGTCACGGGTCCCAAGCACACTCAAGGGGTGGGGATTATACAAGGACATGAATCATGGTGGGTCACCTTGGGTTATGTTTGCCACAATGACTGTGTAAATACTGTTCATTTCCTCCTCTAGAGGAGGAAATGTAATCCCAGCACACTATCTGGCCTGGATTTGATCTTCTTCCTTCCTGGGGGTCCAGTGGAGGACCAGTGGAGGTCCTAGAGGTTCAATGGAGGAATTATATTTCCTCCTTCCTAGAGGTCCAATGTTATGACCTTTAGGCCATCAAAAAGAGAATGTTCCCAGCATCAAAATCAAATGAATCTCTTTTTAATTATCCTCTGTCTTAGTCTGTTTGTGCTGCTTTAACAAAATACATGAGACTGAGTAATTTATACAAAGCGGAAATTTATTTCTCATAGTTCTGGAGACTGGGTTTCTAGGTCAAGTCTCCCACTGGTTTGGTGCCTGGTGAGGGCTGCTTTCTGCTTCCAAGATAGCCCCATGTTGTTGCATCCTCCAGAGGGGAAGAATGCTGTGTCCTCCCATGCAGAAGGCAGAAGGGCAAGGGAGCAGAACACTGCATGAAGCCTCCTTTATAAGGGTCTTAATCCCATTCTGAGGCAAAGCCTTCATGGTCTAATGACCTCATAAAGGCACTACCTCTTAACATTATCACAATGGCCATTAAGTTTCAACACCTGAATTTTGGAAGTGACACACTCAAACCATAGCCCTCTCCATCAATTGTTTAAATTCATGACACATTTAGAATTTCTGTTTCTTGGTTTTGAACACACATATTTATTCTCACTGCTGAACTACACACTAAATGGACTTTTGAAGTGGCATAAACACATAAGGACAGAAAGAACTGGAGAATTGATAGTAGGAACAAAATTTAGACAGCTAGAAAGCAAATGGATAAATGATAACTAAATTAGCAGATGCAGGAAAGCCAGAATCATAAACTGGCTTTTGGAAAGGATTAAAAGCAACGTGATTTGTACTCAAGAGCCCCCTAAAGGGCTCAGGACTTCGCAGCACTAAGTAGATTTTGAAGTGGAGATGAAAGTGGGGTCAAAAGTAGGATTGTTTGAATACTCATGTAAGAAGTATTTAAATTATCTCCCCGGTACTCAACAGTCTACCAGCTACCCTTTCCCCTTTCAGGGAGAAATTGGAAATTTCTTTTTGGGAGAGGCTAAAACAGAGGGTCTCTGGCCTGGTAGATATCAAGCACATTTGAGAATGTGGGTGCCATATTGCAAACAGGAGAACAAGATGAAATACTGCATATTGACATCTCAGAATGCTAGTAGCCAGGACTGTACTCTTGGGAAGGAGATGGAAGACCCAGGGAATTTGAGAAGCCAAAGAGAAAAGGCCTACTTGAGATTCTTCCCTGGTAAAACAACTTCTCCAGAATGTGCTACAGTGAAACTCACAGTTGATAGGCGTCTCTTGGATCCAGTGCCTCAAATAAGCTTCTTATAACTTGCTTTTAAATCTGAATAGAAAACCAAGGATCATGAGAGATGTTTAAGAAGTCTCAAAATTGAAAGATTGAAACCAGAAAAATAAAAAGCAAAAATGACTTACAGAATCAAACTATGCAAGGAGAGTAAAACAAAAACAAAAACTCTACCATTAAGTCTCAGAAAAGAATGTTATTACATACATGAAATAAAAAGAGTCTTTAAAAAGGCACATTCTGAAAATAAAAGACTTATTAGAAAATAAAGACAAAAGAATATTGTGTCCTTATACTCTTTTATTAACATCTCTCCTTTCTCTGTCCATGCTGCTACCTGTTGCGGGAAGTCAGGGACCCTGAACGGAGAGACCAGCTGAAGCCATAGCAGAAGAACATAAATTGTGAAGATTTCATGGACATTTATTAGTTCCCCAAATTAATACTTTTATAATTTCTTACGCCTGTCTTTACTGCAATCTCTGAACATAAATTGTGAAGATTTCATGGACGTTTATCACTTCCCCAATCAATACCCTTGCGATTTCCTAGGGTAATCCCATTATCTTCGTAAGCTGAGGAGAATGTATGTCACCTCAGGACCCTGTGATGATTGCATTAACTGCACAAATTGTTTGTAGAGCATGTGTGTTTGAACAATATGAAATCTGGGCACCTTGAAAAAAGAACAGGATGACAGCAATGTTCAGGGAACAAGGTAGATAACTTTAAACTCTGAATGCCTGTGAACCAGGCAGAACAGAGCCATATTTCTCTTCTTTCAAAAGCAAATAGGAGAACTATCACTGAATTCTTTTTCTCGGCAATGAACATCCCTGAGAAAGAGAATGCATCCCTGAGGGGAGGCCTCTAAAATGGCCGCTTTGGGGATGGCTGTCTTTTACAGTCGTAGACAAAGGATGAAATAAGCCCCCGTCCCCCGTAGGGCACCCAGGCTTATTAGGCCTAATAAATTTTGGTCAGACAGGTTGTCTGCTCTCAAACCCTGTCTCCTGATAAGATGTTATCAATGACAATGTGTGCCCTAAACTACATTAGCAATTTTAATTTTGCCCCGTCCTGTGGTCCTATGATCTCGCCCTGCCTCCATTTGCTTTGTGATATTTTATTACTTTGTGAAGCATGTGATCTCTGTGACCCACACCCTATTTGCACACTGCCTCCCCTTTTGAAAATCATTAATAAAAACTTGCTGGTTTTACAGCTCAGGGAACATCACGGAACCTGCTGACATGTGATGTCTCCCCCAGACACCCAGCTTTTGTACTTTTGTACTCTTTCTCTTTTGTACTCTTTCCCTTTATTTCTCAGACCAGCCAACACTTAGGGAAAGTAGAAAAGGACCCACGTTGAATATCGGGGGTGGGTTTCCCTGATAGCCACCACCACTTACAAGCCTCTGGTAACTATCAACCTACTGTGTCCTTTTATGAATTTGACTTTTTTAGATCCCACATATAAGTGAGATCATGAGGTATTTGTCTTTCTGTGCCTGACTTATTTCACTTAGCACACTGTCCTTTGGATTCATCAATGTTGTTGCAAATTACAGAAGCTCGTTCTTTTCTTTTCCTTTGAGACAAAGTCTTGCTCTGTCTCCATGCTGGAGTGCAGTGGTGCGATTATAGCTCACTGCAACCTCTGCTAATGCCTAATTTTTATATTTTAGTAGAGATGGGGTTTCATCATGTTAGCCAGGCTGGTCTTGAACTCCTGACCTATAGTGATATGCCTACCTCAGCCTCCCAAAGTCCTCAGTTTACAGGCATGAGCCACCACACCCTGCCAGAATTTTCTTCTTTTTAAAGCTAAAGAGTATATACACCACATTTTCTTTATCAATTCATCCATTGATGAACACTTAGGTTCTTTCTATATCTTGGTTATTGTGAATAGTGCTGCAGTGAACATGGGCATGCAGATATCTCTTCTACGTACTGATTTCATTTTGTTTGGAGAGATGTGTGTGTGTGTGTGTGTGTGTATCCAAAAGCAGAATTGCTGGATTATATGGTAATTCTATTTTTAGTTTTTAAAGGAATCTTAATACCATTTTCTAAAATGTATGCATAATGATACAAAATGTATGTACCTGTACTAATTTACATTCCCACCAACAATAGCCATTCTAATAGGTGTGAAGCGATATTTCATTGCAGGTTTAATTTGCATTTCTCTGATGATTAGTGATATCGAGCATTTAAAAATATACTTGTTGGCCATTTTGTATGTCTTCTTTTGAAAAATGTCTATTCAGGCCCTTTCCCCTTTAAAAAGAAATTTATTTTAAACACAGAATATCACTATATTGCCCAGATTGAACTCAGACTCGGGCTCAAGCAATCCTACCTCAGTCTCCTGAGTAACTGGGACAACAGGTTTGCACCACTGTGCCCAGCACCATTTTAAAATCAGGTTATTTGTTTTCTTGTCATTGAATTGTTTGAGTGCTTTATATATTTTGGATATTAACCCCTTATCAGATGTATGGTTTGCAAATATTATTTTCCTATCTGTAGGTTGTCTCTTCACTCTGTTAATTTTTTTTTGTGTGTGTGTGTGCAGAAGATTTTTAGTTACAATCTCATTTGTCTACTTTTGCTTTTTTGCTTGTGCTTGTGGGGTCATATCCAAGAAATCATTGCCCAGATAAATGTAGGGTTTCCCCCCATGTTTTCTTTTAGTAGTTTTACAGTTTCAGGTCTTATGTTTAATTCTTTAATCATTTTGAGATGATTTTTATATCTGGAATGAGATAAGGGTCTAATTCTATTCTTCTGCATGTGGATAGCCAGTTTCTCAAATAACATTTATTGAAGAAACTGTTCTTTCCCCATTATGTGTTTTTGGCATGTTTGTTGAAAGCATGTATTACTGTTACTGTATTGAGAAACATTCCTTCTATACCTAATTTGTTGATAGTTATTTTTTATAATGAAGGAATGTTGAATTTTGTAAAAATTATGTGTTTTTGTATCTTCAAGTATTTCTGTTATTTCTTTTCAATCATACTTTATACTCCATGTTTTTTTTTTTTCTTTTTCTGTTTATTTTTTCAACAGGAGCTTTTTGTCATCCTGTTCCAATCTAGATTGGTTACTGTCTAGTTTTGCTACCCTCTTGTCTTCCCAGAATTTAACTGTCGTCTGGGTTGTCTCCAATTCTCTCTGGGTTCCCTGTCTTTTGTTTTGCTGGAATTCCTCAGATAACTTCCCAAGAATAATTCATTTGATATAAATTTCTAAGTCCTAGTAGTAGCAATCAGATAATACAGTAAAAGTAGACTCTTAATTTTTAAAAAGGGATTTATTTGAAAGATAATGGGGTGCTTACAGACTCAGAGATTATGGATGAACCCAGTTCAGAAAACACAAGGCAGCTCCAGAGGGGGTATAGCAAAAAGTACTTATTAATCTTGTTTGGAATCTGCCACAAGAATCAACTTTCACTATCATGAGTCTTTTGATCACCATACTCAGGATTCCCACTCCAGGAAAGGGGACCCTACTTGTTCTAGCTTGGATCATACGCTTGCTACTTGGCTATGGAAAGGCAGGTACCTTGATTAACAGTCCCACGAGACTACAAAAGGAGGGCAAGTCCCCCAAAATAAAAAACTCACTGTCAAAGACGGGTGGAATGGATGCTGATCAGCCAGAATACAACATATGGTCATTATACTTTGCATGAGTAAAATGTCTTTATTTTGTTCTCATACTTTCTTTGATTATAGAATTATAGATTGAAATCATTTATTTTTCCTTTAGGACTCTGAAAGCATTGCTCCCATTTTCTTCCGTCATTCAATATTGCAGATAAGGACCCATGCCAGTCTGATTCTATTCCTTTAGTGGGAACTTCTCTCCGGAAGTTTTTGAGAACCTTTATCCTTGTTCTGAAATTTCATCAGGTGGGACCCGGTATGAACTTTTTCTGTTCTTCATGTTGGCATTCTTTAAATATTTTCAGTCTGTATACTCGTACTTTCTTTAGTTTGGGGAAGATGTTGGATTTTCTTTTCCTGTTGTCTTACTTACTACTTTTTCTCTGATACTTTTATCTTCTTCCTTATTTAATTGTGTTCTCTTGATGGTTTCCATTCTCCTTCATGATCTTTATGTTTGTGGTCAAAACTGTTTTCTTTTGCGCACCTTGATATTTAATCTTTATCTTATTTAATGAGATTATTTTGTCTTTTTCTTCCATTTCCTGAGTTTGGTCAACTCTCATTCCATATCTTCCTATTTGTTCTATGTCCTATTCTGAGTTATTTTGAACGAATTATTCAACGTGATTTTAAAAATATGAATATTATTGGCCAGGCATGGTGGCTCACGTCTGTAATCCCAGCACTTTGGGAGGCCGAGGTGGGCAGATCACAAGGTCAGGAGATCGAGACCATCCTGGCTAACGTGGTGAAACCCTGTCTCTACTAAAATACAAAAAAAAAAAAAAAATTAGCCGGGCGTGGTGGCGGGCACCTGTAGTCCCAGCTACTCTGGAGGCTGACGCAGGGGAATGGCATGAACCCGGGAGGTGGAGTTTGCAGTAAGCTGAGATCAGACTACTGCACTCCAGCCTGGGCGACAGAGCAAGACTCTGTCTCAAACAAAAACAAAACAAAACAAAAGAATATTATTATTTTAACGTACTTAATTCAGGTTGAAGTGTTGTGTCAGTTTTCTCTAGCTGGGTCTTGGTCTGTCACTCAGGCTGAAGTACAGTGGGGTGATCATGACTCACTGCAGCTTCAAGCTCCTGGGCTCAAGCTATCTTCCTGTCTCAGCCTCCTAAGCAGCCAGGACTATAGGCGTGCACCATGCCTGGCTAAGTTTTCTTTTTTTTTTTTTTTTTGAGACGAAGTGTAGTGGTGCGATCTAGGCTCACTGCAACCTCCACCTCCTAAGTTCAAGTGATTCTGCTGCCTCAGCCTACTAAGTAGCTGGGACTACAGGTGTGCACCACCACGCCCAGCTAATTTTTTGTATTTTTAGTAGAGACAGGGTTTCACCGTGTTAGCCAGGATGATCTCGATCTCCTGACCTTGTGATCCACCCACCTCGGCCTCCCAAAGTGCTGGGATTGCAGGCGTGAGCCACCGCACCCGGCCGGCTAGGTTTTTCAATTGTTTTGTAGAGATGGACTCTTGCTATGTTGCCAGGACTGATCTTGAACTCAAGAGATCCTCCCACTTGAGTTCAAGTGATCCTCCTACTTGAGCCCTCCCACTTGAGCCCTCGCACTTGAGGGCTCAAGTGATCCTCCCACCTGGACCTCCCAAAGTGCTGAGATTTGCAGGCATGAACCACTGTGCCCAGCCTCATTTTCTACCCTCTAATAGCTTTGTATGATACTGTCTGTCATTTTGTGTTCATTTTGGAATGCCAATTTTTTTTTTCTCTCCTGTTTTGGAGAAGCCTGAAGGTAAGGAGCAGAATTTGAGTGTGTACGTAGGCTTCTTAATTCAAAGGCATCCTTTTCTGTTGTTACAGTAAAGTTCAATTTTATACATGGAAGTTTTGTGGGTGGAGTAGGTGTGTTTTCCCAGCTTCTGGTTCTCTTTTTTTCTGTAAGACCTTTAGTTTTTATTGCTTGCTTGCTTTTTTCTTCACCATAAAACATCCAAACATTTCTCCCCCTTCCAAAACATCTACCTCTCCTTTAGAATGAGGCTTTCCTGAACTGCACAAAGATTTTCAAGGCAGTGTTCTAGTCCACCAGTTCTCAACCCCATTCTCAGTATATTTTCTCTTTTAGGCAGAACTTCATTAGAGAAGATTTAATCTGGATTCCACCACTGCTCCACTGCTGCTGTCCTCTGTTCTTTTCCACACAACCTCTACCCAACTTCACTTTGGTGCGGACTCTGGAGTTGGTCCCTCTGGTTTCATATGCTTCTTTTCCTACTTATATGTAAGTTAAAGTTGTTAGTAATCTCCGCCTCCCAGTTGTGCTATGAGTTGTTTTATTAATTAATTCTCCCCTTATTATAGGACTTTTAAAAGAATATATGGAGAAATTAAGTTTTAAGTGGCCACCATCTATCTTACATAAGGCTTGCTTGCTTGCTTGCTTTCTCTCTCTCTCTCTCTCTCTCTCTCTCTCTCTCGTCTTTTTGAGACAGATCTTGTTCTGTCGCCTAAGCTGGAGTGCAATGGCACGATCTCGGCTCACTGTAACCTCTGCCTACTGGGTTCAAGTGATTCTCCTGCCCTTAGCCTAACAAGTAGCTGGGACTATAGCGTGTGCCACCACGCCCAGCTAATTTTTGTATTTTTAGTACAGAAGGGTTTCACCATGTTGGCCAGGCTGGTCTCGAACTCCTGGCCTCAAGTTACCTGCCTGCCTCGGCTTCCCAAAGTGCTGGGATTACAAGTGTGAGCCTGTACCCGGCCAGGTTTTTTATATTTATTAAAGAAAGAAAGAAAGAAAAAAAGACTGGCCAAACTCTCAAAACTATGGCTTCTAACTACAATTTTCCAGTAAAAGGAATCAGAATTATATAGAGAAATGACTGAGTCCATGTCTAGGGCAGGAAATGTAGAAGGTGAACGTAGAGTATCTTGTCTTTTAAGGAAAGAAGGAAACTGTCAAAAATGACTAGGGTCATGTCAAAAAGACTCAGAAGTGAACTTTAGAAGGACCATACCTGTTAAAATTAGACACCTTGAGCATCAATAAGGATAATAACAATAATGATAGAAATACATTAAATATGTTTAAATGGAAACCTGTGAGTTCATAATGATACCAAAAATGAACTTTATTGATTGCCTCTATAAGGATGCTAGGGAATCAATTCATTATTTTCAAAATGGTAAATGAAGGAAAAGAATGAAGCATTTGTCTCTTCTTAGGAATTGTACCTCTGAGTAACCAAATAGTTGATGAATGAAAAGTTATGTTTGTAAAAGTATTCCAGCTAATAAGTGAAGAAGAAATGATAATACATCATCACTCTGCAGCCTCTAATGAATTTAATAGATTTAGGCAATAAATGATGGCTGCTACATCACAAAAAGAAAGCTAACCACACTTTAGATGCCTCATGATGGAAGTACCCAACACCACCCATGAAGTGTTCTTGACAAAAAAATTAAACCTGCATCTGATCAAGCCTCTAAATCTACTTAACAATTTACAAAACAATATGATAAACTTATGATGTAAAAAGAGACCATAATGATGCACTCAGCAAAATCCAAACTGTGGGAAACACATTACAACTAACTTCTTCTTTAATGAGTTTCAAGGAAAAAGCGAGAGAAAAAAAAAGTGATGGGGTGAAGGGAGAGGTGAAAAGAAAATTACTTGTAGATTTTAACACCTCAGAGATACATCAACCAGTGGCAAAGTTTGAACCTTATTGGATCGTGATTCATACAACTATAAAAAATTTTATGAATGAGGTAACTGAGGAAATATAAACAGTCACTGGGTAGATATCTGGGACTTACTATTATTTTTAGGTATGAAATAGTATTGTGGTTTTCTTTTCTTTAAAAAAAGTCATTTTCTCTTATAAATACATAGTGAAATATATACAGTTGTCTAGGATATCTTCAAAATAATCCTGCAGGCTGGGTGTGGTGGCTCGTTCCTATAATCCCAGTGCTTTGAGAGGTCAAGGCAGATGGATCACTTGAGGCCAGGAGTTTGAGACCAGCCTGACTAACATGGAGAAACTCCATCTTTACTAAAAATTAGCTGGATGTGGTGGCACACACCTGTAATCCCAGTTACTCGGGAGGCAGAGGCAAGAGAATCTCTTGAATTTAGGAGGCGGATGGTTTCAGTGAGCCGGGATCAGACCACTGCATTCCAGCCTGGGTGACAAAGCAAGACTGCCTCAAAAAACAACAAAATAATACTGGAGGAGGACATGAGTGAAAGAGAGTATAGATGAAACAAAACCAAAGGCAGGCAATTACACAAAATAGAAGAGAATAGTATTCTATTTTGTATTGTACTATAATATAATACATATATTATAATATATAATTCTACTTTTCCCCCAATGTTTGGCACATCCCATAATAAAAAGGTCTTAAAAACTGGGGGTGATGTTAATCTTGGATGACTGAAACATCCTCGTTATCTTAGTCTTTGAACTTTTTGAGTCTTTAAAATTTCTCACATAAAAAGGATAAGAAGGTGGGGCGCGGTGGCTCATGCCTATAATCCCAGCATTTTGGGAGGCCGAAGCATTCAGATCACCTGAGGTCAGGAGTTCACGACCAGCCTGGCCAACATGGAGAAACCCTGTCTCTACTAAAAATACAAAAATTAGCCAGGTGTGGTGGCGCACGCCTGTAGTCCCAGCTACTCAGGAGACTGAGGCATGAGAATCACTTGCACTCGGGAGGCAGAGGTTGGGGTAAGCTGAGATTGCGACACTGCACTCCAGCCTGGATGACAGAGACAAGACTTCATCTCAAATAAATAAATAAATAAATAAATAAATAAATAAAGATGAGAAAAATGTATAAATAAAATTGTTAAATGACAAATTGAGTTAAATGTTTACGTTAAATATTGCATGGGGTTATTTTACCATTTCACAAGTAAAACACTAAATTACCAGTAGACAATGGTTAACAACATGCCCGGATAATTTATAGAAGAAAAAATGTCAAACAAGCATATTTTTAAGTGTTCAGTTGCACCAATATTGAAAAAAGTAAAACAAGATTTTTTAATGTATCAAATTATTTCAGATTATATCTAATTTTCACTGCTGGATTTCTGGAAAGCAATTTGTTAATATACATCCAAGAGTCTTAAACATGTTCATATCCTAAGGAACTACTTTTAAATGTAGGAAAATAATTTTGTTTAGGATTATTCATTACCACATTTTTCAAAAAGGAGAACACTGGAAATAGCACAATATTTTATGTTTAAGTAAATTAAGTACCATTATTTTTAGATCTACAACTGGGAAGACTTAAATAAAACACTTGAGTTATGTGAGAAAATGGTCAGAATAACAATGACTGAAAGAAGGACGTATAAATGCAGAGGAAACAGATTTGAGAAACGTCAAGATGTCCAGTAGTTATATCTGGTTGTTGATTTATGGGTAATTAATTTCTCTGTATTTGTTTTTATTTTTCACATGTAATAAGCACTGTTATAGCCAGCAAAAAATTACAAAAAAGTCAAAGTCATCCTTTCAATCAGCCCATTCCCTTGCCCCCTCTCCTCCTGACTAAACAGAAGCCTAGTGCATAATTTGTTTTTCAGGGAGAAGAATCCCTTTCATTCCACTGTTACAGATAAATCACCTACTGTGGGAGTAGTCATGGTACTCACATCAAAGTGTAATTCATCAGTGACTGTGATTGAAAGCAGATCCTTTACTGTTTCATAAGTGAGGAAACATCACATGGGGGCAAATGAGGAAAAGAAAACTAAGGGGTTGCTGGGAGAAAATAAGGCAAATATCAACTGCTTCATCATTCTTTTTAGAGCCTTCAATGTGTACCCTCAGTATTGCTCAGACTTTTTTTTAATGTGTAGCAGTGTTGCTATGGTAACTGAAAGCTACAACTTCTTCCATTAAAGCTTTATCACCTTCCCTAGTGGGAAACGGAAAGAGAGCTCCAAGTTTCTGGGAACTGAGTCTTTATAAGGAGAGATATTTTGTTGTGTTTTGTGCACTATTTCAGGTTCTTCTTCAGGTCAAGGTCACCAGAAAGGGTGAGAGAGATATATTTCTGATGTGGGCTCTTCCAGGAATAGATTAAACCCAGACACCAGACATATTTCATGATATGAGGGTAAAGCAGGTTTTACATGGCCATGTGAAGGGACTTCTGAAGGACAACCCGAGTATAAAACAGGTTTTATTGTCATCATTATCAAAAAGTTATGTATCAGCCCCTGTGACCATTCATGACTAGTCAGGGTGCTGGGTAAGACAGAAAGGTTCAACCTCAGCTCACTCGGTACTTAGTCAAAGGCAGCCTTAGTGAGCACATACAACCACATTAAGGACAGTCACACAACACGAATACGGAGGACAAATTGGCATGCCATTCAGTCTCACTGTCTCTGTGCATCCACAGCTCATTCCTAACTTTGTGTATTTGCTTGTCTTGTTTACCTGTCAATAAGGCCTTCTCTATTTTTTTTAAGTCCCACTCTTCCTTCAAGACCCAGTTATGAAGCTTCTCCTCTTTGACAGATTGCCTCCTTTTAAACCTCATTGTATGCAGTTAGCATGAGCTTTTAGCATTTATGTTTTTCCCCAGGCATTCAATGATCATATGATAATTGAAGTATTTTATAGATAACAGTATGTAGGTTTCTGATCCTATCTAGATGAATGTTATATTAAAGATGGTAGGTTTGCAGAAACTCCACCTCTCATCAGTTTTTAAAGAGAGTGTCCTGTGGTGCTCTGAAAGAGGCAGTTAGTTGGAAATTCCAACTGCCTTTCCTTTAGATTTTCTAAGCATGCTTCTGTACTTGGTAGCTGCTGATTGGCTGTTACCAAAGGTGACTAGAGTGCTAAGCCAGTCAACAGGGAAAACTCGGCTCCTGACTTTGGGTCTTTCTACTCAGTCTATATGGAAGAAAACTTAGACAAAATATAAAAAAGAAAAACATAACTAGTTGGGCATCTCCTAAAGAGGTAATTACAGTAAAAAATATTAAAATAAGGACTCTGCTAGAGTATGAATTTATAGTGTGATCACTATTCCATAGTTATGGAGTAACTACAAATGAACCAACTGGGGGAGGAGATAGGTTCCTTCAATGGGGCAATTCCCAATGTTTATTTGGTGCCAGAGAAGAGAAAATGCCCAGATACATGACTTGTATCCAATAATTGTGTAAAACTTATAATAATTACAAAGGAATGATAACTGGGGGTAATTTAACTGCTAAGTAGGTCAGTAGGGAAGTGTGATGAGGATAATGAAGTTGCTGCAGTGTATAGAGATATGGAATTCAGAGGTAATGCTTGTCAAGTGCTTATTCTGTATAGAATAACTGTTAGACGTTTTCCGGTATTTTTCATTTAATTCTCACAACACTGTGAAGTGCCTGTCATCCCAATTTTACTGAATAGAATATGAACTCCAAGAAGTTAAATAGCTTGCTAAAAATCAAATATTTCGATGGACAGAGTTCATCTTAGGCTAAAGTCTATGTCTTTAATCATGAGCTGAAAGTTGAAAGAAGATAGTATCAAATAAGGAAACGTTGTAATATTGAAGGGAAAATAAGAAGAATGAGACTGGAACTATGCCCCAAAGAGTTAAAGAAACCAGTAGGTAGCAGAAATTCTTGAGCTTGCAGGATGGCAGATAGCAAAGCTTGCAGAATAAGCTTGCTGACATTAAAACCAGAATTTCCACCACATACTTCATACTAACTCTCTCGAATTTGCACAGGTGACCCATGAAGAGGCATAAAGATTCTAATAATGGTGTTATGTCATTTAATTTGAACGTTCAGCAAAGTGATATAAGATTTTTCTGGTAAAGGCACTATTTTCAGAGTTTAACTGTGATAATGTCTCCACGTAATGTTAAATTCATTCTTACACCAAAAATATGCTTGAGCATTGCACCATGCTGATAGAATTTTAATCTACTATTTGTTTCCTCTTACCTTGTGAAAACAAGTTGTTTTCTAAGATGATTTTTTAAAATTCACTAAAAACCTTCAGTTCTCCCCTGTTAATGTAATAAGAATGAATTCAAAAATCAAACTGTTTGAGCTTTCTACTGTCAATTAAATGTATTTAATAAGCAAGTCAGTTTTGATGAAGGAAAAACACCAGTTACATTTAATTTACCCAGCAATTGTCAGGAACAGCACAAAGATCTGAGATTCTGTTCCACTTAGATTTGGCAAGTTAGTCTGTTCCTGTTTTCTTGGATGCTGGCAAAAGACACAAGACTCCTAGGTCAGAGTAAAAGGACTTTATTACTAACAGCAAAAGCAGTAGTCAGAGTGTCCACACGTTGCTCACTCTAGTACCCTCTGTCCCCCAAGTTCCTTGAGAGGTGAAATTCATCATGGATGCCGTGTTAGTTTGCTAGGGCTGCCGTAACAAAGGGCCATACACTGGGTGGCTTAAACAACAGAAATTTATTTTTTCACAGTTCTGGAAACTAGAAATCTGAGATCAAGGTGTTGGTAGGGTTAATTCCTTCTGAGGGCCATGAGGAAGGATCTGTTCATGCCTCTCTCCTAAGTTTATAGGTGGCTGTCTTCTTCCTGTGTCTTCACTTCATCTTCCCTCTGAATGTCTTCCCTCTGTGTCTTCACTTCACCCTCCCTATGTCCAAATTTCCTCTTCTCTGAGGATACCAGTCCTATTAGATGAGGGCCCACCCAAATGACTTTATTTTCACTTCATCACCTCTTTAAAAATCCTGTATCTAAATATGATTGCCTTCTGAGGTATGGATGGTTAGGACTTCAACTTCAGAATTTTCGGGGTAGAAAATTGAGTCCATAACAGATGCTTATACACATAGTGGAGTGCATTACAGGAGAGGTACAGTGAGATTAGGCTATTCACCATGGAAACAAGCCTGCTGTTGTCCGGGATGCCTTACCTCATCCCTCAAGACTGATGGCTGGAAACACAAGCCTGAGATGAACAGCATCCAGGGCTTTGCATTCTTGGCACACTCAACGAGAACTCAACTCAGGACCATGTGAATTGTCTTCCCCAAAAGCAATGTCCTCAAAATATTAGATTAAGTTACAGCTGTATCATCCTTAGAGTCTTCATCAATTCAGGCTCTGTTTTACATAGCTGTGTAATTGATCTCACCTCTCCAAAAGTTACCTACACTGAAGGAAAACCTGAGCCACATCTCTTTTTCTAGTTTGTAATAATTATACTTATAAATTTACCTTTAATACCAAGTAGGGAGTAAATTTAGAGCTTAGTCAACTGTTGTGTTGTCTGCTTTTGTCACATAGTGTGAAATATTAAGAATATTAAGTTGAGATTATTTCTTTACTACTTTGTAGTTGTTTATAGCAAAAGGAATTCAAAAGTATGTTCAGAGTAATTGAAGAAAATAATTCTTATTTATTCCAACAGATGGAATTGCCACTTATATATGTTTCAGTTTTGCTTTTGAACATATTTGAATTTTCATCAGGAATAGTATATAATAAAGGTAAGTTTCAGACTGTCTTACTCTCTATTTCCTTCTCAAGAGTTCTTATTTGTGTCCCTTCCTTATTTACAGTAAAAAAAAATTTTCTTTTAGTATTTCTTCTTTATCTTATCTTCCAGCTGTTCTCCAATATTGTCAATTATACTCTGGTCTAAAGGCTTCTAATATTATTGTGAACCTATTGTTATCAAGTTGTGTACATGGAGACTTCTCTGGTTACAGTATTTTATCACTTTAAAGTCATAGAATATTTAAAGTTTAATTTTATACTTGAAAAACTTTATTTGAACAGACATTTTAAAATTCTTTCCTCCATGAATGGTTGCATTGTATGAATGCAAACTGAATTATAAGGCTAGTGGATTGAGGTTGAAAAGAGTTTTCTAAAAGTAACACACAGATTGAATTAGTCAGTAGGACTTTTATGGTTCTGAGAAAGGTACAGGGAGGATACCTTTATTATGGGAGATTTGTCCTGCTTTAGGTGCACCTGCTGTTTCTTGATTACCTTTGGCTCAAAATAATCAATGTGACAAAGTGGCATATTTTGATGTGGCATACCCTCATCCCTTGAAGCAGCAGTGGTGGGGAGAGAGAGATGGAAAGCACTTTTGCTGCTTTTGTTTTCAACTTCATTGCTGTGAGGTCGTCCCTCTTACCTGCAAGGAACTCCCAGTGGGGATGCCTGAAACTGCAGAGAGTACCAAGCCCTATATATACTGTTTTTTCTTGTGCGTACATACCTATGATGAAGTTTAACGCATCAATTAGGCATAGTAAGAGATTAACAATAACTATTATTAAAATCGAACAAGTGGAACAATATACTGTAGTAAAAGTTATGTGAATGTGGTCTTTCTTCTCTGTCTCTAAATATCTTAGTACTCCACTCACCCTTCTTCTTGTGATGATGTGAGATGATACAATGCCTGTGTGATGAGCTGAAGTAAGGTGAATGACATAAGCCTTGTGAAATGACTTTATTGAGTAAAATAAGATTACTTGAGCACAAGCACTGTGTTACCAGGACAGTTGATCTGATAACCTAGGTAGTTGCTAAGTGACTAATAGGCAAGTAGCATATAGTATGGATATGCTGGACAAAGTGATAATTTACTTCCTGGGTTGGATGGTGGAGGACGGCATGAGACTTTTTTTTTTTTTTTTTTTCTGAGTCAGAGTCTCACTCTGTCACCCAGGCTGGAGTGCAGTGGTGCGATCTCGACTCACTGCAACCTCCCCGTCCCGGGTTCAAGCAGTTCTCTGCCTCAGCCTCCCGAGTACCTGGGATTACAGGTGCACACCACCATGCCCGGCTAATTTTTGTATTTTTAGTAGAGATGGGGTTTCACCCATCTTGGCCAGGCTGGTCTCGAACTCCTGACCTTGTCATTCACCTGCCTTGGCCTCCCAAAGTGCTGAGATTACAGGCGTGAGCCACCGCACCTGGCCAATGGCATGAGATTTTATCACACTACTCAGAACAGTGCACAATGTACAACTTATAAATTGCTTATTTCTGAAAGTTTCCACTTTATGTTTTTGGACTACAATTGGCTACAGGTAACTGAAACTGTGGAAAGTGAAATCACAGAAAAAGGGGGACTGTTGTGGTTGTATAACTGTGAATAGGGCAATGAATGAATTTCATAAATGGCATTTTTTTCTATACATTTGTCCCACAGTGGATTTTTATTGTAGTCAGAGCAGGCATTTCATTGGTGGTTACACTTGTGTGGTTTCCCTTTCTATCATGATTCTTGTTAAAGAAGTCACATACTGTTGAAAGTATAACTTCTCTGGCACATCTTTCCTTTAGAAGCTTGCAAAAGAGTAATTTTCTGTGTTTTATTATTGTAACAGAATCTAGCAAACTCTATAATCTGAGAATTTCTAGGGGAAGGGGTCCATGGAGGGAAAGTTAGAAAACTTAGAAATTGTTTCTCTGTCTCTCCCCACAATATCTCTGCCTCTGTTTTTACCACCCAAGCCCAAAAGATCCTCTTGATATAAGTACATAATTCACAATATGATACCAAAGTGCAGAGGACAAATCAACTAGTTGCAATGAGACGAATGTTAGAAAAAACTCTTTGGCCAGGTACAGTGGCTCACACCTGTAATCCCAGCACTTTGGGAGGCCGAGACAGGAGGATACCTTGAGCCCAGGAGTTGGAGACCAGCCTGGGCAAGATGGCAAAACCTTTTCTCTATAAAAAATACAAAATTTAGCCAGGTGTGATGGTGCCCACCTGCAGTCCCAGCTACTCAGGAGGCTGAGGTGGGAGGATCGCTTGAGCCCCAGGAGGCAGAAGTTGCAGTGAGCCAAGATCACTCCACTACACTCCAGCCTGAGTGACAGAGCAAGACCCTATATCAAACAAACAAACAAAAACAATTTCTATTTGAACTGGATCTTAAAATGTATTAAAATTTGAGGCAGAGAATGGAAGTAGAGAGAACCCCATGCATTTCAGAGGTGATGGATGAGGTTGTGTGCAGGGGAGACTGACAAAATGGATTTAACTATTGAAAGAGTGTCTAGCGGGATACAGAGAGGATGGCCCTTAGAGTCAGAAACAACTCGGTTCCAGTCTGGCCCACTGTTGTTAGTTATATGACCTTTGAGCTTGATTTCCTCTTCTTTAAAGAGGAGACAGTAATATATATGGCCCAAGGTATTGTGGGAATTTCATAAAATAACATCTAAATCCAGCTCAACCCATTTGAGCTTTAATGGCTCAAAGTATGTTATTCAAAGGAGTTAGTTTCCTTCTGTTTAGCCTCTCACCATTTGAGGAATTTAATTCATGAGGTAAGGGTGTGTTAGTGAAGATTTTTAAACAGAGAAGTGATTTGCACTTCACAATCAAATTATAGCTTTAAAAAATGGGTCTGATAGCATTGTCAAGTATGGGCAAAGTGATTGTATAAGTTGAAAGTACTTTGAAAACTGTTTAACATTATAACCTCCAGAACTATTTGTATATTTTGCATATTTGTGATATTTGTAAAGATATGTTTACTTGTAGAATTTCAATAATAGCATCGAAATCATTATATTATACAAACAGAATGAGTAGCATTCAATTATAAATTAAATTTATTTTCGCCTCCTATTTAAATCCAATCTTTGGCATGGTTCTTCCTCTGTCACTGGATGAATATTTGGGCCAGAACCAAGATTTTTTTGGTTACAATTGGATGATTCACACAGTTCTCCTAGAACAATAAACTCTGGGGAATATGAGGGACAGGAGAAATGGATCAGGGAGGGGCTGAGAAACTACCTGTTGGGCACTGTGCTCACTACCTGGGAGACAGATTCATTTGTACTCCAAAACTTAGTATACAAAATATACTTTTGTAACAAACCTGCACATGTTCCCCTTGAGCCAAAACCAGTTCTCTGAGCATTTGAATTTTTAAAACACTTTTGCATTGTAATTGTTGTAATTAAAATATCCAAGCCCATGTACAAGTCAAATTTAACTCTTATTTTATAATTGAAGTTTCTTCCCTGTTTCCTGTCTGGGCCTCCACCTAGTGTTTAGATTCCTTTTCATTGTCTCATCAACTTTAGGTTTTGACCCTTCCTGCTCCAGCGTTGTAGAAAGGGAGTGAGAAGTGGGAAGGAATAGCACAGTTCTGCCCTAACTGGTTCTGAGGGGACCATCTGACATTTGCACTTTCAAGCTCCAGCAGATGTGTAAAGCTGACCCTTGATCTCTGGGCACTTGAATGAGTCCTTCATAGCCCCTTCCCCTCCCTCACATTACCGGGAATCTCTTCTCCACAGTTCTTCTAACAAAGGCAAAAACTTCTTCATTCCCAATGGTCACTTATTTCTTTGTCTATGCCTTCAAATACTTTTTGCTGACAGCCAGTTGCCGCTCAGAGAGACCTTTGAGGACAGGAACCTAGATGACCCTAAGTTAGTTTTTTTTCACCAGTGACCTGGATCACAGGAAGCATTCATCCATCTTTTGCCCCAGTAAATTTTGGTTGTGCAAGACTCTTAATGAAATGGGAGAGTTCCCTGGCTCCTCTTGCAGGACGTACAGGGGTGTGGCTGTTCTGGCACTTAAACCCCTTATGGGATGGGGACCATGCAGATGGGCAGGTGCAGGAGCCGGACGAGCACGCCTGGGCTCTGGCTCCATGGCAGCATCCACGGGTGGGAGCAAGCCTGTGACTCCTGAAGCCCAAGTGGGTGTGTGTTACAGTGTGCCCTCTTAGCCTTGCTGTCCATGGGCCGTTTAAGTGTTAACCAGCTCAGGCCTTCTTGGTACCCAGGTTCTTGTCCGGCATCCAGGAATAATCAGTTTGCACATGGACTTGAAGGATGAATGCAGCAGGGGTTTTATTGAATGTCCTGAGGTGGCTGTCAACAGGATAGATGGCGAGCTAGAAGGGGAATGGTGTGGGAAGATGATCTTTCCCTGGATTTTGGCCTCTCCGACCATCCCCAGCAGAACTCCTCTTGGCATTTAGACACTCCTTCTCTTCTCTCTGCTATTCTTCTGCTCTTCTATTCATCTCCTTGCTTGTCTACTTGTCTGCTCTGAGGCCTGGGGTCTGGGGTTTATATGGGTATAGGATAGGGGGCGTGGTGGGCTGATAGGCAACTTTCGGACACGAAAACAGAAATGCCTGTTTTCATTAGGGCTGTAGGTTTCCAGGCTTGAGGATGGGGCCTTTGCCGCTTCTACCCAGTATTTCTGTCTCCTGTCTGTATCATTAACATACCCATCTCTTTCTCAACAAACCATATCCTGTTCTTTCCACCAAATCATCTCTTACCTTCTAGATTTTCTAAGTAGGAGTCTGAGTTTGTGCCCCAAACTGCAGGGATACATGTTACTTTTTTAGTGTGCCCATCAGACCCTCTTGCCTCAGACACAAGGTAAATAAGTAGAAGGGGTCCTCCTCCCAATATCTTCATTCAGTACCTCTCTATCAAAACACAAATTCTCTCTGCAGTCACCAATTCTGGATCCTTCTATACCCTCCAGGTGAGGCGCTGAAGTGTCAAGAACTGGTTTTTGTCTACCTCTAAAACTTTTGTGTCATGGTCTAGCATGAGTTATATTAGTGCTTCAGCCAAACCTTCCCTTTTTGAACATGCCTGATAGTGTATGTGTAAAAAGAAAAACAAGGTGGAAATTTTGAATTTTACCTGAAGTGAATTTAAAATGTACAATTATAATTCTTATTCCTTAAAAATATTTTGTCATTTTTAGAAACATCGTACTTTTTATGGACAGTCTTCTATCAGTGATCTAATATATATATATATTTTATTATTTAGGTGATACAGAGAAACGCTTTGCATGTTCTAGCAAAGGGTACCCTCAAGAGACTGAAATAATCAAGTTATTTCTTTTCTCAGGAAACTTGGTAAGGTCCGCTGATAGCATGTGTTATAACCCTTCACGTTCCTTTAAAGTCCACGTGTAAAACCAATAGCACTGTATTCCTTCCAAATACCCTCTACTACATTCAGACTTGGGGAGGAAAAATTCTATATAAATAATAATTATTTCTGTCTTTGCTAGTGTATGTCTACTTGGAGCAGGTAAAATACTTCACTACTTCACTTAGCCATAGAGCATCCTGTGTGTTTTGGCTTTTATTCTTTCTTTTTTAAAATGATGCCTCCTCCCTCCGCTTTTTAGTGGAGTTGATTTGTCCTTTTGAAGTCTGACAGATGTAGCCTATTAGAGAAGGAAAGCTACCTCACATGACCTTGAAAATCTGTCTTGCCTTTGTATAACAAGTACCACATTGAAGTTGTCATTTTGGGTAAGGAATGATGTGATCCTTTGATTCGAATAATGGGAGACTTTTTAAAAACACACATAACAGAGTAAAATAAAGTATGCTATCAAGATCATGCAGCAAATACTAACAAAAATATACGTTAATAAAAAGTGCACAGATTGTCTAAAAATCTATGATAAATATAATAAAAACAAAGAAAAAGACTCCATGAGAACAAATGCATTTATTCCTAAGCCTGCTTTGACTTAGGCCACAATTTCCTCCTGATATGCTTAAATATGTATTTAAGCTTTATATATACAACTATTGAGAAGTGTATGTTCTCTGAGCCAAAAACGCATTTCTGATTTGTTGTTATATGTTATGGAAAAAGAATGGGCTTTGGAAGAAGACGGACTTACAGAGCTGGGGTCCAGTCTTGGTTCTGCCATTTATGGTCTGTGTGTCCTGGGGCAGGTTACCTAAACTCTCTGACCCTCAGTTCTTCTTCTAAAAAGGGAATTATAACCTACTTTTTGGATGTAGTTCTAGCAGCAGTAGTATTAGAAGTGATAGCTAACATTTATAAAGTGTTTATGTGTATCAGGCATTTTAAAAAAATGTTTAATGTTCATTATGACATTTAATCTACACATTTAATCTTATTTGAGGAAAGTACTATTGTTTCTTTTTTTGCTAATAACCCTGTTAAAAATTGTACTGCCTTCCCAAACTCCTGCACTGTCAACCTCCCTTCCCTGCTTCGTTCTTATAATGTATTCTATATTCATTCCATTTTTTCTATCTTTTCCTTCATTCTCTACCAATCCATCCACCAATCTCTCCATCCAGTTTGTCTCCCTGCCAATCTCCATTACAATGTTAATTCCACAGGGGCAGAGGGTTCTGTCTGTTTTATTCACATCTGCATTCCCAGCACCATTCATAGGAAGGGCTCAATAGATATTTTTGGAATGAATGTATTTCCCCATTTTTTAGTTTAGGGAAACTAAAACTCAGATAAGGAACTTGCGCAAAGCGATCTTAAGTACTAGGAGAACTAATTGAAATAAAGCTCTTGGTATTTGTCTCTTGTTAGTTTTCAGTAAAATTCACCATTTCTGATCGCTACATTTTCATATACCTTCTCAAAACTAGGAAATATCCAATAAAGATGCCGTAAAATGAGGTTTGCTTTATACAGTTGCTTTTTTTATTTAGACACAAAATAACAATTTTAATAAAATTAGAATTTCTATTTGTGATAACATATTGCTTTGAGTCTATGTTTACTATATGTAATAATAATGACCATTTCTATCATAGAAAAGATTATTATAAAGATGAAACCTTTATGATGCCAGCATAATAGGTTATGAGTTCTGAAAGTATAATTTTATAAATAGATTTTTTTTTCTAACTAGAAACTGGAATTACTAATCACTTTTAGATCAACTAACTTGTGTCTCTGCAGCAAGTGGTTATTAGTTGTTGTTTTCTTTTTTCTTGCTCTTTCCTAAAGAAAATCCAGTGTTTCTTCCAAACTGAAAATGAAATTGCATCACAAGGAATGCTAAGTGTGTTCACATCAGGAGGACTGGCTCCCAGCTTGGGAATCATTAATAGTACATATAATGGCATCTTCCACTTTAATTTAACGTTGGTAATTACATTTTATCTTATTCTGTGATATGTTATTAACAAGAAGCATACTCTTCCTTATAAGATGTATTTTTTAAAAATAGGTAGCTGAGTAATATTACATCTATGTATGTTTTAAGCCCAATGATAGTGTTACATTTTTTGCTTTAAACAGTCATATATTTTTAAATAAATTAAAGAAGAAGAAATACTTATTTGTACCCTTTACCTACATGTTTATTATTTATACTGTTCTTCGTTCTTTCCTGTAGATATAAGTTGCCATCTGATGTCAATTTCTTTTAGCATTTCTTACAGTGCAGAACTGCTGGCAAATAATTCTCTGGGTTTTTTTCCTCCTAAAAATGTCTTTATTTCACCTCTTTTTTGGCAACAACTTTATTAAGATATAATTCCATACAATTCACTCATTTAAAGTGTGCACTTAAATGGTTTTTAGTATATTCATAGAGTTGTGCAACCATCACTACTAATTCCAGAATACTTTAGTCTCTCCAAAAGTGATGAAAGTGAGAGTCTATAACTATTAGCAGTCACTCCCAATTCCCCCTCCACTCCCCAGCCCTAGACAACCACTAATCTTTCTGTTTCGATAGATTTTCTAACTCTGAACATTTTATGTAAACGAAACATATATATGTAGTGTTCATGACTGGCTTCTTTCAGTTAGCATATGTTTCAGTTAGCATAATATGGTCAAATAATATCACATTGTATAAGTACCACATTTTGTTTATCCATTTATCAGTTGATGAACTTTTGGGCTGTTCCCACTTTTTGGCTCTTACGAATAATGCTGCTGTGAACATTTGTGTGAAAATTTTTGTGTGGAAATATGTTTTCATTTTTCTTAGCTACATGGCCAGGGATGGAATTATTGGATCATATGATAACTCCATGTTTGACATTTTGAGGAAATGCCAGACTGTTTTCTAAAGTGGTTGTACTGTTTTACATTCTTACCAGCAGCTTGTTAGAATTCCAATTTCTTTTCTTTCTTTCTTTTTTGTTTAGAGACAGGGTCTTGCTGTGTTGCCCAGGCTGGATTTGAACTCCTGGGCTAAAGTGCCCAGAAGTTCTGCCTCAACCTCCTGAGTAGCCAGGACTACAAGTGCATACCACCACACCTGTGTTAGAGTTCCCGTTTCTCCACATCCTCACCAATGCTTGTTTTTATTTGTCTTTTTAAAAATAACCATCCTAGTAGGTATAAAGTGCTATCTCATTATAATTTTGATTTTAATTTCCCTAATGACTAATGATGTTGAGTATCTTTTCATGTACTTATTAGGCCCTTGAATATGTTCTTTGGGGAAATATCGATTCAAATTATTTGCTGAGTTTTAATTGGGGTATTTGTCTTGTTTGATTTGTAAAAGTTCTGTATAGATTCTAGATACAAGTCTCTTATCAGACATATGATTTGCAAATATTTTCTCTCATTCTATGCATTGTCTTTTCACTTTCTTGATAGTGTCCTTTGATACACAAAAGTTTCTCTTAATGAAGTCCACTGTATCTTTTTTTTCTCTTGTTGCTCGTGCTTTTGGTGTCATGTGTAGAAAACCATTGCCTGACTCAAGGTTATGAAATTTTACCCCACATGTTTTCTTCTAGGAGGTTGATAATTTACCTTTTACATTTAGATCTTGGATTCATTTTGAGTTCATTTTTGTATTTGATGTGAGATAGGGGTCCTTACTCATTCTTTGGCATGTGGATATCCAGCTGTCCTAGCATGACTTGTAGAAAAGACTATTCTTCTTCTATTGAATTGTTTTGGCACTTTTGTTGAAAATAAGTTGACCATAAATGGGACAGTTTATTTCTAGATTCCCAATTTTATTGCATTGATCCACATGTCTATCTTTATGCTAGTATCATATTGTTTTGATATTTTTGCTTTGTACTACAGTTTGAAATCAGGAAGCATCAATCTTCTAACTTTGCTCTTCTTTTTCAAGATTATTTTTGCTAGTCTGAGTTACCATATGAATTTTAGGATAAGCTTGCCAATTTCTACAAAGTAGCCATCTGGGATTCTGATAAGGACTGTACTGAATCCTTAGATATATTTGGGTAGTATTGCCCTTTTACTAATATTAAGTCTTCCAATCTATGAACATGGATGTCTCTCCATTTATTTAGATCTTTAATTTCTTTCAACAATGTTTTATGTTTTCAGAGTATAAGTTTTATACTTCTTCTGTTAAATTTATTTCTAATATTTTATTCTTTTTTACGTTGTAAAGGGAATTGCTTTCTTAATCTCATTTTCAGATTGTTCACTCTAAGTACATAGAAATATAATAATTGATTTTTATATGTTGATCTAGTATCCTGCAGCCTTGCTAAACTTGTCTGTAAGATCTAATAGGTTGTTAGCAGTCAACTGAAATTTTGAAGCATTGTTTTGTCAAATATAAAATTTCTGGTTGACTTCACTTTCTTTCAGCATTTTGAAAATTTTATTCTAATGTCATCTGACACCTTTACTTCTGAATGAGAAGTCAGCTGTTAATTTTATGATTGTCTCCTGTATGTAATATGTTATTTTTCTCTGGATGCTTTTAAGATTTTTCTCTTTGGATTTACCCAAGTAAGGTTCCCTGAGCTTCTTGAATTGTAAGTTTAGCAAATTTGGAATGTTTCTGGCCATTATTTCTTGAAAAAAGAATTGTACCACAAGTCTCTAAGATCTTACCTGTGGCTTTGGCAGCTGAAATTGCTACTCAATTCTTTTAGCTTGCACTGCTAGTTTTTACAAACTGGTCTTCTGGGGGTGTCCTTTGCATGTTTATTGCCCAAGAATTTGGTCACAGTTTATATTTAAATCTCAGAGATTACCGTTCTTGCAGTTTCCTTATTCCTGGAATTTTCCTCTTAATATCCCAAATGCTCTGTCAACTCCAAGCTCTGTCTCTGACATGTCATGCCAGTAAATACTTCAACGTTGTGCTACCTAAGCTTGGCTGTATAGAGTTCCACTATGTGGCTATATTATACACAACTGATGAATATTTTCATTATTTCCAATGTTCAGCCATTACAATGATGCAAAATTATTCTTGAACACATTTTATTTCACACATATGTGAGCATAATGTAGGAAAAATTCTGAACAGTGAAATTTCTAGGTAAAAGGTATATGCATTGGATGTTTTTGTTTAATTCTCTTTTAAAAAGATAGCGTAGGATGTGACGTGTTGTTATTAATGTTGTAAAACATTGTTTTCTGATGTCTTCTTTATTCAAGTTCAGTGATCGGATTTTCTGGTTGGTTGATATTCCTAGAGAAAACATCACACAAAACACAGGTAAGAGTGATCTGAATTAATTCTTTTACCCCTGGGTCTGAATTTATCAAATAAAAAGAACAAAAAGAATTTATTATCTTAAAAATGATTTGTTGTCTCATGTAAATCTCCCATATGGCATTTGGGACATACTTACTAAAAATTATCTGTGGTTTATCTGAATTTTAAATTTAACTGGGATACTGTATTTTATCTGACAGTCCTATTATAGGTAGATCGTTTTGACATATATAACATTTATATTATCCTTTATTTAAAATAAACTCATTTCTTAGAACTTGGAAATTGTAGTATTAATATGGGTACTAATTTATTTTACTGAAGATGAATCATTAATTTTAATATGTTATAAGCTGTACATATGATGTATTATTTTATTATGGAATCTACTATTAAGTATTTTGTGGCATTGTAGCATCATATGCTACTGTATATACCTAGATGAAAAGAGGAGAAAAGTCGAATTCCAGGAACTGTGAATATTGATCTAGTGAACTGACCTAGTAGATCTCTAGGCATGAGACACATTCCCAGAGGTTAAAAATGGTGGAAGGTTTGTTGTTTTAATATGATAGGTACATTAAACAAAACCAACTTGACTCCACTTAAGGAAAAAGAAGAAATTTATTTTAGTCATAGAACCCAAAGACAAAAATGTGCCATCTTATAGGAAGGAATTAGAAATAAGAAATGGAAAACCATCGAGAACTGAGGGAATACTTTTACCCTGTTTGTCTTATCTGTATTTTCTATAAATTTACATTTATTTTTCTTTTTTGTAGACAGGCTTTCTAAAGTTGCCTCATTACAGTTGAATTTTATGTATCTTTCTTATGGGTCAGCCCAATTCCAAATTCCCAGGACAGTATCTGCAGTTGACTCATTGTTGATCCAGCATCCACCTGTGTACCAAGCAAATATGGATTGGGAGAGTGGGATGGGGGAACCATACAGGCCAACCCCTTCTGGTATTGGAGTAAAGGACATTCCAAACTGTGTCCTATAGAATGAAGGCAAGGCAAGGTGAGGGTAAGTTAGAGATGATGGAAAAGATTCTATACATAAAAAAGTGTCAAAGATAAAGGTCTGCAATAGATGTTCCAGTGCCATAACATCTGGCATAGATTGTATCACTATCTTTACCCTTTATTCAACTTTTTTTCAAATTAATTTTCTTATTAGAGCTATGTGTGATTTTTAAAGGAATTTATCTTGAAAATTGTACTCTTATTTTTGATGTAGCCTAACTCTTATTAATATAATGATAGAATGTTATTCCAGAAGCTTAGCACAATATTGACATTCATTTGACCATTGAAGAAGTGAAGATCACATGTTATTTTTACTTCTACTCTTTATTTACAAACTTTAATTTTAGAAAAGCATTGATTCTAAAGTCACCCAGACAGGAACAAAGATGATATGAGAACTTAAGGATTTTAGAAAAAGACCAAATTAGCTCTTCCTCTCTTGACACAACTCCCTGGACTGAGTAAAAAGAAATATCGTTGTGCTAGTACTGTAATAGGAGGGGCTGGTTTACGTAGATAGTAATATGCTAAAAATCAGAGAAAAAATGTTCAGAGGTAAGGAGATCATATTCATTTACTTTTTCTTCTTTAATCATACCTTATTTACTGCTATGGCATGAATTTGAGTATTATGAGTATATGTAAAATCTTGGGAATATATTTGAGTGTATGTAAAATCTTGCAAAAGTAGGTTAGGCAACATCAACAACAAAGGTAGTAAAATAGTCTTTGTAGTGGCAGTAGAAATAGCAGGCAGCATTTATTGAATTCTTATTATATGTCAGCACTGCTCTAAACGCTCTATCTATGTTAGTTCATTTATTCCTAACTATGTGGTAGATACTATTAATATCTTCATTTTCAGATGATTTAACTGAGGCCCATGGAGTTGTATGGAAATTTAGAGATAACTAGGTGGTGAAAGCAGCTTGAAGTGTGAACTACAAACAGTTGTTGAAAGTAAACAGCACCTCCTTGATTTACACTACATGATTTGCTCCTTTTCTTTTCATTTTAAAATAAGGTATAATTTGCATTCTAGGAAACATATCCTTTTTGGTGTCCAAAGCATATCCTTTTGGTTCTATGGGTTTTGATAAATGTTTACAACTGCGTAATCACTGCAGTGAAGACATAGACAGTTGCCTCAGGCAATAAAATCACTCCACCCATAATCAACCCCTCTCCATCTCCCAGGCCCTGGCAACCACTGTTCTGTTCTCTGTTCCTGTTGTTTTGTCTATTCCAGGGGCATATAAATGGAATCATAAACCATACAGCCTTTGAATCTGCCTTCTTTCACTTAGCTAATTCATTGGAGATTTGTCTATGTTATAGTTTCTCTAGTGTTCTCATTGGGTAGTATTTTTTGGTGTGGATAGTTAATTTTGTTGACGGGCATTTCGGTTTTTCCAGTTTTTGACAATTATGAATAAAGCTACTGCAAACAATCTCATACAGTTTTTTGTGTGAACATACATTTTTGTTGCATTTAGCTAATACCAAGTAGTAGGATTACTGTGTTGTATGGTAAGTGTAAGCTTAACTTTATAAGAAAAACTGTCAAACGATTTCCCAGAGTGGCTTTATCATTTTGCGTTCTGACCACCAGGTGATCTGCATACATCCCAGAATGTAGTATATGTGTGTGTGTGTGTGTATGCTTGTACATATGTATGCATATATATATATGTAGACATATTTTTAAAATTTTTAGCCATTCTAAAAAAAAGTGTAGTGACATTTAATTGTGTGTTTTGTTTGTTTGTTTATTTGGGGTTTTTTGAGACAAAATCTCACTCTGTCACCCAGGCTGAAGTGCAGTGGCGCAATCTCGGCTCACTGCAGCCTCCGCCTCCTGGATTCAAGTGATTCTCCTGCCTCAGCCTCCTGAATAGCCAGGATTACAGATACGCACCACTAGGCCCGGCTACTTTTTTGTATTTTTAGTAGAAACAGGTTTTTGCCATGTTGACCAGGCTGGTCTCAGGTGATCCACCAACCTCGGCCTCCCAAAGTGCTGGGATTACAGGCGTGAGCCACCGTGCCCGGTCTAATTGTGGTTTTCATTTGCATTTTTCTAACAACGGACATTGAGCATCTTTTTTTTGTGCTTATTTGCCATTTGGTTTACTATCTGTTCAAATGTTTTACAAGTTTATTATATATTCTGGATACGGGTGTTATTAGATATGTTTTGCAGATATTTTCTCCCCGTCTGGGGCTTGTCTTTTCATCTCTTAAGAGTATCTCTTGAAGATCAGAATTTTCAATTTTGCTGAAGGCTAATTTATCAGCTTTTTATGTTATGGATGGTACTTTTGACATCACAGCTAAGAAATCTTTGCCTAACCTAAGTTCACAAAGATATTCTCCTATATTTTCTTCTAGAAGTTTACACTTCTAGCTTTTGCATTTAGGTCTATGATTTATTTTGAGTTAATCTTTATAAGTTATATGGGCCAATGTTAATTTTTTGGAATTTGGATACCCAATTATTCCAGTGCCATTGTTGTAAAAACTTTTTATCTCCATTGAATTGCTATTTCTGGACTGTATCCTTTCACCAATACCACACTGTCTTGATTATTTTAGCTTCATAATAGGTCTTATAAGTAATGTTAGTCCTTCAATGTTGATCTTCTTTTTCAAAATTGTTTTGGTTATTATAGTTCTTTTGCCTTTCTATGTAAATTTTAGAATCAACTTGTTTACTTCTACAAAAATACTGCAGTGATTTTTAATTTTGTATTGCATTGAATCTATAGATCAGTTTAGGGAAAGTCAGTATCTTTTTTTTTTGAGATGGAGTATCGCTCTTATTGCCCAGGCTGGAGGGCAGTGGCATGATCTTGGCTCACCACAACCTCCATCTCCCAAGTTCAAGCGATTCTCCTGCCTCAGCCTCCCCAGTAGCTGGGATTACAGGCACCTGCCACCATGCCCGGCTAATTTTTTTTGTAGTTTTTGTAGAGATGGGGTTTCGCCGTGTTGGCCAAGCTGGTCTTGAACTCCTAACCTCAGGTGATCCACCCACCTTGGCCTCCCAAAGTGCTGGGATTACAGGCATGAACCACCTTGCCTGGCTGGGAGAGTCAATATCTTAATAGTAACGAGTCTTCCAAGCCATGGAGACACTGTATCTCTCCATTTGTTTACATCTTTTTAAAAATTTATTTCCCAGCACTTTGGGAGGCCGAGACGGGCGGATCACAAGGTCAGGAGATCGAGACCATCCTGGTGAACACGGTGAAACCCCGTCTCTACTAAAAATACATAAAAAACTAGCCGGGCGAGGTGGCGGCGCCTGTAAGTCCCCAGCTATTCGGGAGGCTGGAGGCAGGGAAAGGCGAAACCCGGGGAGGGGGAGCTCTGCCAGTGGCTGAGGATTCCGCCAACGCATCCAGCGTGGGCGACAGAGCTGAGACTCGTCTCAAAAAAAAAAAAAAAAAAAAAAAAAAAAAAAAATTTATTTCTTCCAGGTTGTTTGCTTTCAGCTTAGAGACTTCAACATTAAAAAAAAAAGTATAACCGAAAAATTCATTCTTTCAGGGATCATCATCTATAGTTTGTTACTTTAATTACTAACGAAGCTCTGTGAATGTGCAGAGCACCTGGAACACTACAAAGGCGAAGGACTTCAGCATTCTCTCCTCAAGCGTGAGCTGCGCCTGGTGTTGGTTGGCGCAACTTGCCCATTGCCATTGGATGAATCTTTTCGTTCTTGTGGTAGAGAAAGAGAGAGAATGCAGCTTTGAGTGTTTCTATTTTTTTGTTTTTTGTTTTAAGTATACCTTTAGTAGTTCGTGTTTGGGGCCAGGCCGCGGTGGCTTCAGGCTGTACATCCAGCCAATTTGAGAGGCGAGGCGGGCAGCTCACCCTGACGTCAGGGTTGAAAACCAGCCTGACCTATATGTGAAACCCTTGTCTCTACTAAAAATACAACAAACATTAGCCTGGCACAGTGCG